CACACACACAGCTCATCAGCACACAGCCACAAGGGTCATCGCTCCCACAGCCAGCAGCAGCGGTGTACACATCCGTGCATAAGTGCTGCCGTCCGTCTTGCCAGCCGCAGTCGCCAGAGGAGTAGTCACATCAGTTGTTGTTGTTGTTGGGGGAACTGTAGATGTGTCGGGATCGGCAGCGGCAGTGTTTGTGGGCTCCGCCGCATGCACAACATCCTCAGCTGAGGGAGGAATGGTATCACTGCTTGTTGATTCCGTTTCTGAGGGAGAAAGGGCATCACTGCTCGTTGATTCCGCCCCTGTCTCTCTCGCACCAATAGATTCTGGCTGTACAACGTTTTCTTTTTCTTGAAGGGCAACTTCCTCAGAAATCGGTTTCTCATCTGTTTTCCGTCTCAGCGCGTTTTCAGCCGCCTTCGCCGCAGCTTCCACATTCTCCGTTGCTGTTGTAACTCCGCTCACCACCGCCGCGACGCTGCTCTCTGTCTCCTTCATTTTCTCCACTGTCCTCCTCAATGCCTCCGCCGCGGCCGCTACTGCAACCGTTACTTTTTGCTCTGTTGTACCTGTCGCAACACCGTCATCCGAGGCCAAACCCTTCCACACCGCCAAGACCACGAAGTACGCATCTCGGGCTTCAGCCACTGCGTTCCTGGCGGGCTCGATGGCGCTCTTTGCGGTGCCCATTATGCTGGTCGCCCTCTTCGCTGCCTCGGTAAACATTTGCTCCGCCGCCGCCGCCTTTGCAGCCGCCTCCTCAAATCCCGCCCCTGCAGCCCTCGCACTCTTCGCCGCCTCCTTCGCCTTCTCCGCTGCTGCAGCTGCAGCCAAGGCAGCCTCGCTGGCGTTGCTGGCCTTTTTGGTCTCATTCGCCAACAGCACAAGTTCCCACTTCGCTCCAAACGAAGCAGACATGAGGTCCTTTATTTTCTTGATCTCAGGCACCTTTGTCAGCAACGAGGCAAACCTCGCTTCTGCGGTAGTTTGCTCTGTCGTCGTTTGTGACGCCTCTGCTGCTTTTCTTGCTGTTATCGCCGCCTGCACTGCTGTTTTTGCGGCTTCCACATTATCCCCTTCCAAGGCACTCTTTGCAGCCTCCATTATCTCTAACGCCTCCTTCTTTTGTGCATCAAGTGCGCTCACCGCCGCTGTGGCCTTTTCCGCCTCCGCTGCAGCGTCCTTCGCGGCCTCCACAGCAAGAGTTCCGGAGCCCTTCACTTGCCCCTCAGCAACCTGCGAAAGTGGAGCTCCTGCAACGCCACTAGCACCGCCAGCCACGCACACAGACGTGCAGCAGCACAGCGCGAGGGCCAACACGCACAGCACGTGGCGCAACATCAGCGTCAATGTAGCCTGGGACCACCTGTGTCTGCGGAGGGAGAGGAGGAGCACAGCAGGTGGCACACACACACAGAGAGCGAGAGGGACACGGCACCAACACAGTGCACCGCAGCACAGTGAACCACCCAACAAGTGATATCAGTTAGAGGGCAGGCCGCACACAATGCCCAGCAGCAAGCAAAGCCCCAACACACCCAGAGAAGAAACAAACAGACGCCTCCCGGACAACACACACAGCACAAGTGAGTGCAGTCGCGGGTGAATTAAACAGCGCCCAGCCCACAACAGGGCAGCAATGAAATGAAAACAAAAGAAGCTTTATAATGAAGAACGCAGCCCTCGGGACTCAACGCAATTATCACGAGCCCATCGTCACCCCTGCACGCTCACACAGACACGTCTCACCACACGGCCACGCAGGCAAGCAGCGACAACAGTGGGGCACGCACCCACGCAGTGCTGCTGCTGCTGGCGTCGGTGTTGCGGTCAGGAAGCTTCGCGCCCTCTCCCGCAGTGGTGGACGTACCGGCGTCAGCGTTGGGTGCCCCTTCGGTGGTGGTCTCTGATTGAGGTGCGGCTGTGGAGGCAGTGTGATCGGCGTCACTCACTGTGACGGAGTTGTCCGTTTCTGTGCTCTCTGCCTCGCTGGAAGTTGGCGTGGGGATGTCTTTGCTGACAACACTGCCCTTTTCTCCACTAGTAACTTCATCATTTTGATTTGCGCTGACGGTGGTGGGGTCTTTCAATGGGGTGCGTGGTGTTCCAGATTGAGTTCTCCCCTGAGGCGCCTGTTCGTCTGACTTTTGTTGGGCGGTATTTTCCTTCACTGATGTAGGTTTAAGTGGGACAGACATATCCCCAACGTTTGTATTGAGAGATGACGTATCTAGTTGTTCTCCGGTCAGATCTTTGGCCTCTTCAGACTTTGGAGAGTTTGTGGCTTCTGGTACAGGCGTGCAAGTAGCAACAACTTTCGCAAAAATGTTCGCTTCGTGCCCAACTGGTACCTTCACTTCAAGGTTTGCTGTCTCCGGGTTATTTACGGCAGTCTGGCCAGTTGTAGTGGACTTCACAGTGGCATCATAGGTGACACTATTGGTAGCTTCCTCACCCGTCTTAACTGTACACGTTATTTCAGAGGCTGCTGCAGCCGTTATGCCTTTATTCGAACATTTAACATCCAGTGAGGTCTTCAGCGTCAAGTTATATCCAGCGGGAACTTTAACTGTCTTCGAAGATTCATGCGGAATTGCTTTTGTTTCTTTTGATTCACCCTTCTTCCATGTAACAGCGGTGGAAATGGTTACATCACTGCTCTTCCCAGTTTTTGGTGTTGTCTCCACTTCGCAGCTGTTAGAAACAACTGTCTCCGTCAGCGTTATCTTCGCGTTGTCATTCGTAAGCTCTAATACAACCGGGCCCTCAGCTTTGCCAGTTTCTACCGCCCACGATGAAGCACAGCAGCACAGCGCGAGGGCTAACACGCACAGCACGTGGCGCAGCATCAGCGTCAATGTAGCCTGGGACCACCTGTGTCTGCGGGGGAG